GCTTTCTGCACAGATGTGCTCTGCTGTCTGCCTTTCCAGTTATATTTCTGCCTCAATCTGCCCATGGCAGGACTCTACAGGTCACAGTCACACACACACACACACACACACACACACACACACACACACACACACACACACACACAACCTGTCAAGAACATATTTCACAAGAAACTCTGCAAGTGCCATGAAAATAAAGTCACCGTGCAAAAACATCATGGTCTAACGTTATAAATACGTCTTCATTTTATTCGTGTTTTAATTTTGGGATGAAATGTGACATCGATATATATGACAGGACATGTGTTTGTGAGTTTCACCCCTGACAATCTCATCTTTTACCACTCATTTGAATTGATTCGAGTATGTTCTGTTATAACGTCAAATATAGAGATGATCGTATCATAACTCCTCGTGTTCTTACTGCTAGATGTTTACACTGCTCGAGATCAGCTGACAAACTAACACTCATTAAAAAACTCAAAATCACTGACACTGAAAGGCTCTACCAATCAAACATACACGACATTGACAAGGATCATTGCGCCCTTTATATGCATACAAATAATTATAACCTTTTGATCTAAATGTATCATACAGTAACAAAATCGGAAAAACTCACGTGTCGATCCTGAATAGTGATGTTGTGCAACTTTAAAAGGAGACCGACGCGCTTCATCAACGATAAAAGGTTCCGGGATTCGTGTTTTCCTCCAGTCAGTGAACTTTGACTGAGGAAAACATTTTAAATATTATATTATATTATATATTTGTAACACTTTAAAACTTTTGTAAAGAAGACGAATTCCCCGGTAGACGAGATATTGTATCTCAAAGTGAACTTCCTGGTTAAATAAATTAAATTAAATTAAAAATTAAAAACGGAGAAGAATATTGTGCCTTGTTTGTTTTGCGACAATTAAAAAAAATTGTTATGTGTAATGATAGTGGGTGGTAAAAGAGGAACTGGATAAAATGGAGAGTTTAGGAGTGATACAAAAAATTGATCAGCCCACACTCACAGAATGGGTTAGTTCATTGGTGATTGTGGACAAGAAGAATGGAAAATTTCGAATTTGTCTTGATCCTAGAGCTTTGAACAGAGCAATTAAGAGAGAACATTTCAAGCTTCCTACACGTGAAGAGATCATGGCCCAGTTTGCAAATGCCAAATATTTTAGCAAGCTAGATGCATCGTCAGGATTTTGGCAGTTGAAATTGGAAGCTGCCAGCTCAAAACTTTGCACATTTAAAACGAGGTTGTGAAACGAAAGTTTCTGCTCTATAAAAAACACAAGGCAGTAAAAAATCAACCTTGTTTTAAGAAAAACGTGTTTTATTTGCGATCTTCTGGAGAAATACTACACTACCCACAATCCTAAGCATAACACTGACGTCACTGATTTGTCGAACTCACGGTTACCATGGCGATGTTTACCGCCCCCGCGAACGACTTAAGTGATCTGAAGTATAAAACCGGTTGCTAACTTTAGTTTATTTGTTTATACCTTTGCCCTTTTTGCCTTAAAGTTGCCGACAAAGATGAACTTATCAGGGCATTCTCAGCACTCATACACAGAAGGGTGGATTTCTGAAAAGGGGTGAAATGGGTGAAATCTATCGGTGAGCTCAGCTGTCCACGGTGCTGAAATAACGCGAAGCCCATCATTGTATTTATGATAAGTTCGGTTCAGTGTCAGTCAAACACCTTTTCTTCTTTGCTTTTGTTAATAATTTAAGTTGAGGGGATGTTTGAGCTGTTTATTTTATGTCAGCCCAGACAGCTGTAAATATACTAATCAATTAAGCAGAGAAGTTGCCGTCCGTGAAAGCGCGAGGCTTATTCCAACGTAAAACGCTATACAATTGTATATAGTTTTAATCAAATAAGGTTGGATGATTTCTATGTTGAACTGCCTGTTCATGAAGCTGAAAGCTTTTTGTGTCACCGTCCTAGGTCGAGTTACACTACTCGTGTAACTGTATTTAAATAGGGAAAACGTGGAGGTGTTTGGTCGCTTCTCTTCTTGGCACGTATTGAATGAACAGGGCTGAGATAAGATCTAACAAAGTTTCACCTCAAGACAGCGATTTAGTGCACGCACTGAGACGAGAGAGGTATGTATCACCTCGTCTTAGTTAAGGGAATAACATAGTTTAATATGAAAAACCAGTAGAGTATCCCTTTAAGGCTTCCGTTTGGAATTGCTTCGGCTCCTGAGGTGTATCATAAAATAGTGCACATGATTTATGAACACAGGAGTTGATACACCGATGGATGATATAATTGTCTGGGGAGCTTCGAAAGAAGAACATGATGCGAGGTTAAGAAGGGTTTTTGAAGCAACCAGGCGAGCAAATTTGAAGTTGAACAGAGAAAAGTGTCAATTGGCTATATGCACAGCTGCACTACTTCCTGAACTTCAGCCAGCTCCTTTGTTTCCTGTCTGCCATTATTGGACAAACTGATTAATCCAGGTGTGCCTGGCCTCAGTAACAATAATCAGGCACACCTGGATTAATCAGTTTGTCCAATAATGGCAGACAGGAAACAAAGGAGCTGGCTGAAGTTCAGGAAGTAGTGAAGCTGTGCATAAAGCCTATTGGGGGTGACTGAGTTAACCTTGGGTGACATCATTAGTAGTGCTGGAGTGCGACCAGATCCCCAGAAGATCTCTGCTATCGAACATATGCCAAGACCGCAATGTGTAAAAGATGTCCAGAGATTCATATGTTGATTTATATGAGTAAATTCATACCTAATCTGTCTGAGAAAATAGCTCCATTAAGATGGTTGAGAAAAGGAATGAATTGAGTTGGAACCATGAACAGGAGTCTGCATGGCAACATTTGAAAGCAATTTTAAATAAAGAGCCAATCTTGAAATTCTATGACCCCAATCGTTCTATTAAAATTTCAGCTGATGCTTCACAGACAGGATTGGGAGCAGTAGCTACTTCTCCAGGATTATGATGGAACGTGGCAACCGGTTGCATATGCCTCACGTTCGATGACTGATGCGGAGTGTAGGTACGCTCAAATTGAAAAAGAGTTGCTTAGTATTACTTTTGCTTGTGAGAGATTTCATCAATTTGTGGCAGGACAGTGTGTTGATGTTGAAACTGACCATAAAAACATCCACTATCCAGGGTCCCCGCGGGTCCTTAAAAAGTCTTAAAAGGTCTTAAATAACATTTTCGCTTTTTAAGGTCTGAAAATGTCTTAAAATCTGCAATTTCCAATAAGGAGGTCTTAAATTTCACGTACGGACCTTAAATTCCTTGTAGGAGACAACAACACATTACAGACGGTGTTTACGACCGTTCATGCTTACGGTCGGGTTGCCAGATTTAAATAATTAAATCCCCAGTCAGAGCTTTTCTGTTAAAATAACACGCTTTCTACCCGGTCTTGTCAATAGTATCTGGCAACCATGCTCGCGCGCGCTCTCTACACTGCTGAAGAAGCGCGGATGATCTGAAAACACTGACAAGTAAGCTGGAGTTCAGTGATCTTCATTTGAGATTTTCTACGTACATTAATTAAAGTGTCATTCAGTTGGTCTTTATTCTGTCACGAGCCGCTTGCGCTGTTTGTGTGACTAAATCTGCGATCAATACAGGCTGATATCCAGCAGTGTTTTTAATGTTGATCATATTATTGCATATTATTGCTATTTTGCAACAAAAGCCACGGCAGCAGACAGTGGTGATTCGAGAACGAATCTGTGGCTTTGAACGAATCGTGAGATTCAATGACCCGTTCATAAATACAGCCACTTGCTTTGTTACCATAGACTGTTGTGTTTGATACTGAATGAATGAATGACTCGATGACGGATGACTCACTCATAAAGACAGTGACTTACCGCCACCTACTGGCGATTTTAATTTAATGTTAAAAAGTATCACCTCGTTTTTACCATCATTGCATATTTATTGAACATTGTTTTATTTAAAGCATTATTTCTTTTATAAAAGTATTTATAAAGGTAAAAAATTAACTGGAAAAAATCGATTAAAAGGGGCAGATATTGTCCCTTAATGGAAAAGGTGTGACTGCAGTCTAAGTGCAAGAGGGGTTACGGCACTCTAAAAAATTGGAGTACCACTGAACTAAGGAACAGGGATATGTAGAATTGCACAAGTGCTACTGCTAAAGAATTAATTGTCAATACAGCCTGTTACCTTGATTCAAATGTCTCATAAGCTTAACTGAATTGGCCTAAAGCAAAAAATTATAATGTCATTTTTTGTCTAAAGACGACATATAAAATAGCTGCCAAAATTAATGTCGGTAACTGAAGTTTGACTAAAAGTTGACAAAAAAATGCAATGACTTTGTCAACTAAAACTAGACTAAAACTATGAAAGAGAAAATTACAAAAATGTGACTAAGACCAATAAGCATTTTCATCTTAAGACTAAAACAAAAACGGCTGCCAAAATTAACACTGTCGTGTCGTGCTGAACATTTTCCTGTTTTTTTTTGTCGTGGTAAAGTCTTAAATTTGCCTTTTAGAGGACTTAAAAAGGTCTTAAAAGTCATTAAATTTGCTGTTAAAAAATGTGCAGATACCCTGCTATCATTACATTATGGAGTTGGAAGCGATAAAATAAAAGGATTAAAAAAACACACACAAACAAACACACAAACCTGTGAATATGCACCAAAATTGTTTAATTCATTTGACCAGTGGATCAGTTTACAAAAGAGTGCAATTTTACAAAGACAAGTACAAAAGAGAGGGATTTATTCCTAATTTTCCTAAATTAGGGTAGCCTAATTTACAGTAAATATGACATTTAGTTGTCTAAACTGCTTTAAGCATTTGTTGTTATTACATGACTGGAGAAAGTATGCAACAAAGGGCAATACGATGAAAGGTAGGCTGGTCTATCTTTAAAATAGTCACACTTTATATGATCATTAAAAATGAAGTGTGCAAAATGATTAGGATGAAATGAACAGTTGTTTGCTCTTGGTCTGGTTTGTGACCGTCTCATCCTACATGCTCCTGTCTTTTAGCGTGACATATTCGTTACTCAGGGTCGCGTCGTCTTCCGGCGTGAAGGTCTCAGCAGCCGTACGCGTCAGCCGCTCAAACCGCCTGAGGAAGACGACGACAGAGGCCAACAGGAGCACCTGAACTGCGATGAAGATGAAGAGGCTGATCTGTGAGGCCAGAGCCAAATTACACGGCCAGTAACGACACGATTCCAGAAGCTCCTGTTCAACCAGATACACGACCAGGCGCCCCCGCAGGTGAGCAGGAGAACTGCAGGTAACGTTCCTGGAACACATACACAATCAACTTATGTTTCATTTCAGTATCTCAGATGTTTCTCCTAACGTTCCTTACGTAAATAAATCAAGCTTTTCGCGTGTTTTCTCAGGAGAAACATCTGAGAAGCAGGAGACTTTAAATTCATTACTGTCTAGGAGACACCTTTTCACAGACCAACAAAAACCAACGCCAGAATCAAGCCAGTGCCGAATGTAAACCAGATTTGGCCCAGACTCTTTTGCTATCTGGGTACTGTTGTTTTAGGGTTTTTTTTTCAGTGTACTGAAGTGGAGATTTCTGTCTCAGTGTGTGTGAGAAAAACTCATTCTGAAAAAAAGCCTTTAAAAATGTAGGCCTATGTATTGCATTTGAAATTTAAAGATGTAGACGACCTAGAATATAGTGAAATAAAATGTTGTTTTGCTTTCTACTGGTCTGAAATGCATAAACATTATGGGAAGCACGCAAGTCACACGGGATTTAAACTTTTTCGGCTGGAGACCCAAAGTTTAGTCTGAAGCTGAAAATTATTAGGGAGAAACGCAAAATTGTAATGAGTAACACTTTAGTTTAAGGTGACGTCTTACACATTGCTACATGCAATTACTATAGTAAGTAATGCATAATTACAGGGAACTAACCCTAACTAAACCCAAAACTCTATAGTAAGAATATGGGTAGGCCTAATACTTTATTTTACAGTGACCGTTACATGTTACATGTACCGGTAGTTACTATAGTAATAACTATAAACTATACATAATTACATGAAACTAACCCAAAACCAAACCCTAACCCTATAGTAAGTACATGTAGTTCATTATTATTACTCAGTATTTAAATGTATAATAACACTACGTGACCTTAAAATAAAGTGTAACCTTGTAACGCATTAAAATATGTGTTAAAATAATGTGTTTTCTAACATTTAAGCATGAAAACCTATTCTAGTAGAGCCCCAAAACAAAAAATATGCATAATATGGGCTCTTTAATATCTCATCTATACACTGACCGCATCGAAGCGTCATTCCTCTGTTTCAGCAGCCATCCTCTGAGATAAAGGATGCCGCAGTCACATGACCAGGGGTTTCCGTGCAGGACGGCCAGGCGCAGGGCGGGCAGCGAGTCCAGCAGGCCGTGGGGCAGAGCCGTCAGGTGGTTGTCGTTCAGGAGGAGTTCAGTGGTGTGTGGAGGGAAGGAAGAGGGCAGCGTGACCGTGGTGAGACCGCGTTTACTGCAGTCCATCACACCGGCGTTACAGGAACACACCTGAGGACAAGCGGCCTGAGCCACGACCAGCTCACTGCCCAGCAATGACAGGAGGACCTTCAACACGAGCCCTGCACACCTCATACCAGCACACACACACACACACACACTGCAGAGACAGACACATCCATCTATCAATCAATCAATCAATTACTAGCTTTATACACGCTCCGCCTCCGTGTCTTATTGTCAAGTCACCTTTATTTATATAGCGCTTTTTACAATACATATTATTTCAAAGCAGCTTTACAGTGATAACAGGAAAATAATGCAACAGAGTTTGTTTCTAGAAGAAAATTGCATCACAGTCTAGCTTAAGTAAGTTCAGTGATGGTACATTTTTGTTGTTTCAATATATATATATATATATATATATATAGCCGCTCTGGAGAAAACAGTGATGTCATCGTCCAGCTCAGTTCAGTTCTCATATAATGGTGTCAATGCAGGCAGATCAATAATATTGTTGAATATTAAGCAAGCCAAAAGCCCAAAGGCGACAGTGGCAAGGAACCAAACCTCCATCAGGTGACAGAATGGAGAAAAAAAACTCGGGAGCGATTCATTATTCACGACGTGTGCAATAAATTATGTTTTGTTATCTAACGCAATGACATTCTGATATTTTTAAAGTGTCCAAATATTTGCTGGTGCCATGTATGAGGTGCAAAACTGAATAGACAGGGATGATTGAGCTTATCTGGAATTTCAGGAGGGGAAAAAGGGAAGCGAAGGGAGCAGGGAAGACACAGATAAAAAATAAAAAAAAAGTACCAGGATGATACAAACATTTCATGGTCACTGTAGAGGACAAAATACAATACTATGAATCTAATGCACATTTTAAGTTGATATTGAATTACAAAATTACAACAAAATGTAATTTATATTTGAATATAATTAACAACTAAATGTTACAATGCAATTGGATATTGCAAAACCATGGCAATCAACACCACAGTATTTTTTGTTGTTATTTTTTCATTATTGTTATATTTTATTCACATTAACTGTACACATTGCCACCTTTTCAGAACTTTGCATTATTAGTTGTGTCTAAATACATCTGTAAATATGTTTATTCTGTCTCAGCCTAACAGTGTCTTCATGCATTTTTATATTTTATTCTTTAATTTTATTATCATGTTTTGTTGTTATATTTGGATCATTTACTTCATTTGCCAAGAAAAATTCCTGTGTGCAAGTACACTTGAAAGTTTTTTCTGATTCATTTTATTTGATAAAATAAAGTAATAATTAAACTCGGTTAAACATTTGCACAATAAACAATTGGTATAAAATAGCATTTGAACCATGTCTTTTTTCCTTCTTATTTTATTTAAATATCCCAACAACACGTGTTTAAAACGCCTTTAGTTCACTGAGGGTCCCAATGGGTCGTGATATTGGATGAATATGTCATTACCAGCTAAATAAATCAAGAGTAAATTATATTTAAGTTATAGAACTCATGCATTTAATTTGTTCAAATGTGAGATGAACTTAATTTTGAGTGAAGTAAAAGTAAAGTTCTTACCAGCGCGTCAGTATCAGTCTGAAGGACTTTAAGACGACAGCATCAAACACAGCTGGGTCAAACTGATAAAATGACCTTAATCACACTCACACACACACACACACACACACACGCCGCCCCATCAGAGGAACATGTGACAGGAAGTGGGCCACACTTTCATTCTCTGATACTGGGACTTCCTAAACGCTTTTCCTTTTCGCTCAGTCAAACAGGAATCATCCCGTATCTGAAACACATTTCACATTCTGTATTTAAACAATAAAAGAAATATATTTAAATTGTCTTATAAAGGATATACCTAGTTCTGACATCATGATTGAACAGATACCGATCAATCATGTGACATGAAACTAGCAAACAAATACAATGACAACTGATAAATTATTCACATTTATTAGCAAGCTTTACATAAACAATTGACATGATAATAATATAAATTATTAAATTATTAAAGGCCATTAACACTGATAATAATGGAATAGATTTTATTCCAATTATTATTGTTATAAAACAAGCAAAAAACAGCATTCTGAGTATGTTTAGAGATAACAATTATTGGAGCTGTATGTTCACATTCACTATAAAAACCAAAACTGCCATTGAACCCAACAAATTCATAGCAAAAGGACCTCACACACTCTCTTTCGCTCTCTCCAAACACACACATACACGTTAATAAACCCCTGCACTGTCAGAAAACAACTTACACACGCATTCGTCTTGCTAAGCAAATAAAAAAAAAAGTCAATATAAATTAGATCCCTTTAGAAGTTAATTTAAGTTAATGGTAAACAGGTTTATGTACGCTCCTCATGAACACATGATGAATCACATAACAGCTGCACCATATTTGATCCAGGCAGACAGAAGCACCGAGCAGATGAACAGAGCGTATCTGGTGGTCAGACCTCTAGATATGATATTTGTACAGTATCATTTAAATGCATTCACATCTGAGGGGTGCAGTGAGGGCTGTAGTGTGTGTGTGTGTGTCAGGCAGCATCACTGGTCTTTCTCATGCATCTGTTGTTGCATCTTTTCCAGCATCTCCTGCATTCTCTTCAGCTGCACAAACAAAACACACAATCAGAAAAATGTCATTGTAACTTTCCTGTACTTTACACTGGTGAAAAAACTCAAATGCACTATAGCAATATTAGCATGCTTTCTTATTATCCTTATTGAACTGATTAGAAGCATATAATATAAGGGGGTTTCCATTTCAAACACAATACTCGTTTTCTATGCTTTTACCATCTTTTTTTACTGTACATTATTATAATGTTTTAAAGATTGATTTCGCATAAAGCATATACACTACCGTTAAAAAGTTGTTTGTTTAAAATAAATTAACATTTTTAATCAGCAAGGATGCATTAAATTGATCAAAAGTGACAGTAAAGGCATGTATAATGTTACAAAAGATTCTATTTCAAATAAACCTTCTATTCATCAAAGAATTTCCACAAAAATATGAACTGTTTTCAACATTGATAATAATCAGAAATGTTTCTTGAGCATCAAATCCTCATATTAGAATGATTTCTGAAGGATCATGAGACACTGAAGACTGGAGTAATGATTCACGTCTCTAGTTGTGCACTGCTCTGGTTCACTATTTAAATTTAATATTGCAGCATGGCTACGTTACAAAAAAATCGCCTGGGTTCTTCCTCATTTGAAGAATATGAAGAAAAATGTCTACATTTGAACATAAATATGAAAAATCAACAAAAAAGTATAGATTTATAATATTGGCCCTAATAAACACAATCATTATTGGCAATTAAATCATCTAGAATACCTATAACAACACATTCTAATGCAAATGTGTCTAAAGAGACCCTGAATATAAATTAATCCTAACAACTGTATGGATTTATGGGTAACGCTTCCTTTTACAGTACAGTACTTACGTGTACTTACAGTGTACTTACCTAGAAAGTACTGGCTAATATAAGGTAAGTACATGGGTTAGGGGTAGGTTCAGGGTTATACCTAGTTATTACCCAGTAATTGTAATTACTATAATAAGTACATAGTAAGTACATGGGTAACAGGACTGTAAAAGGAAGCGTTAGCGATTTATGTAACAAACTATAGCACATATCTCTGTGATGCTTTAAAGAGGACCTATTACACCCTTTTACAAAGTCTTGATGTTGTTTTTGGGCTCTACTAGAACAGGTTTTCATGCTTGAAAGTTCATTATTTTTCTCATATTTTTGCATCGTTGACTGTTGACTTTGGAGCTTTGGGACTTTACAGACCTTTTTCATGCTCAGACAGTAACATTACACACTAAAGAAAGTTTTATACCTCTTCATCCTTCATCTTGATGAGTCTCTCCGTCTCTCCGTCTGGTGTTGGCAGAGGCAGGATGGGTAGCGGACTATCCGTACGGTTATCTTGTGCAAGTTTACTGAAACACACACAAACATGTCTCATATTAACTCCATCTAGGCTGGAAAGAAGCCTCAGAGCCAGTGTTTTTCTTCCCTGTTAAATTATATTATTATATTATATCCCCATTATATTCACATGAATCAGTCTGTGAATGTTACACACACCTGGTCATCTCCTGGATGCAGTGGGCTCTGTAGTTTTCGTAGTGCACGTCACACGTCACGTCTTTCAGGTCGTGCATGTGAGAGCGAATCAGCATGTTCCTCAGTTTCACAAAGTCACAGTGAGACTGATTCTCCACTGAACAAAACACAAAGAAATGCAATAGAGTTAATGAACACAGACACAAACACTTCTGAAACATAGTTTTACACATGCTGATTCTCATTTACATTGGCAGTGTGTATTGAAATACCAGTATCAAGACCACCATTGCACACCATTCCTCTTGCACAGCACAGGGGGTTTTGTGCAAAAACCTTTTAGCCTAAAAGCCTGTATTATATGGCATTTACAAATACATTTATGCATTTAGCAGATGCTTTCATCCGAAGCGATTTACAACAAAAGAACTGAGTTGGTCACAGAGCCAACAATACATTTTTGAGACACCTGCAGTATTGAATCATGCACAGACAAGCACTAAAAGGCCGGAAAAACTGCATGTGTACGTGAGCTTAAACACTGTAAAAATATGCACATTTCATCACTGTTTCCAAAATGTGTCAAAACACTATTGCATTCCCACTATTGCCACAGGGAGTGCTATATACAGTAGTCAAACTGTAACACTTTACAATAAGGTCCCATTAGTTAATGCATTATCATACATTACTGTATAACAATGAGCAACTCATTTGTTAAAGCATGATGTATTAATCTTTGTTTACGTTAGTTATTACAAATTCAATGGTTTATACTATAGATAAATGTTCAAATTAACATGAACTAAAATGATTTTAATAGTATTTTTGTTCACGTTAAATAATGTTGTTAACTAATGTTAACAAATGGAACCTCATTGTAAACAGGGTTCCTACAGGTTTCTTCAAGTTCAATTCAAGTCTTTTTAAGAGCATTTATATAAAAAATTAATACCTATTTCACGTCCCTACCAGCAAAGAAAAACAAAATCCTTGAACTTGTGTTCATTTATTTTTCAAATGTGGAACGGGTAAAAGATGATAAGCCAAGCAGGTGTGAAAAATAAAAACATTTCAGTAGGCCACAAGAAAGTTTGCCGAACAATGTTAAGTTGTTTTTTAACATTAGCTACTTATTCCATGCTGGGAATATGGTGAACTGAGAGACCCCTGAGCAATAAACATCAAAAATTACAATAATCGTGGTTGACAAATGAAACTTTTGAGGAAAAATACAATACGGAGAAGTTACATACAGCACAATTTTTAAGACCCAGACATCAAAATTCAAGACTTTTTAAAGTCTTTTTAAGGTATTATTTCCAAATGAATAAATTCCAATGCTTTTAAGGCTATTTAAGACCCCGCGGGAACCCTGTGTAAAGTGTTTCCAGTTAAACTACATTTATAAACCAGCAGACATGTTTGCATCTAACTACCTAAATAATTACACAGCAGATATTTGAAGGAAAATCTATTTTCAGAACTGAGGTTTGTTTTCTCCTTAGTAACGTTAAGAGGCATTAAAGTACTGTATGTAAAACAGGACTGCATGCTTGCAAACCATATGCAAAGTATTCATATCTGCGTTTGTGTATTTACTGTATAAGAATACCGACCTTCCACGATACCCCAGGGGTAAAGACGACCTCTGACCCTCTGACCTCTGGCCTCCACCACTGCATTACTGCCAATGACAGCAAACGGAGTGCACTCCTACAGCACACACACACACGACACATAAATCATTCAATGTTCATTACATAAGACCTGGTATTCTTTTATTTTTCAATCAATACACCTTGCTTTAACATGCTTTTTGCATTAAAGTAAAAGCAAAAAGACCATAATATGGGTAAAATCAATCCAAATGGATTCAAGTTCATTCAAAATCGTTTCTGAAAATATGATATTTAGGAGATGAGACTCATAGATGTGTTTGCCGGACCTTCAGCTCTTTGTCCATCTGTTTGAACTCCTCCTCTTCATCAGAGTCACACTCAGGAAACTGATACACTTTAATCCCGAAGCGCTCGATCTCGTCTCGCACCTGCAGGAAAACACATCTACAGTATGAAGCGCATCTTGTGTTGTGTTTCACACCTCGTTAACAACTAGCTTGAATCGGATGCGTTTGGTCTAGTATATAAACTAATTGATTCCATCAGGAGCACCACCACAGAAATAATCAGATTTATAGTTAACTGAGTTTCAGAGGACATCAGATCAGATCGTGTCCACTCACCCTGTCCTTGAGTTTTTTCACTTCGTTCGGCGTGAGACAGTCGGCTTTAGAGATCAGAGGAATGATGTTCACTTTCTCATGTAGAGCCTTCATGAACTCCACGTCCACCGGCCGCAAACTAAACAGTAAAAGCAACAATGAGTCTAAGTAACTGATGCATATGATATCTATATATATCTTATTTCACCACCACCCCATCTCTGTTTCAATTGACTTCTATTATGTATTAAATACCAGCGGTGGATTATGGAAGTACACAAATTAAAAGTACAGATACCTCCAGTAAAAGTATTCATACTCATTTTCAATATTACTTGAGTAAAAGTACAAAAGTAATTGATTTTTAATGTACTTGAGTATTAAAAGCACTGATCGATGAATCATGTTTATTATTTATTCTAGCCAGTACTAGTCATTAGTCCAAAAATATGTATTGACCTGCATATTGTTACGGTGTGTGTCGGCAGGAAGCACAAGGAGATCAGGATTTCCAAAAACAATATACTTTACTAATAAATCAAACTGGTACAGGCAGGAAAACAGACAGAGGATACACACATCTTACATAAACGAGAACCGACAAGGAGTGAGGGAGAACACAGGGTTTACATACACAGAGAACGGATCATGGGAACAAGACACAGCTGGGGCAAATTAACTAGAAACAGGTGAAGGAACTGAACACAAACGAGGAGCGGGAAAACTGAGATACAGGACTGAACCAAAACACAATGCAGGGAGAAACACAGGACACACATGTAACATAACGCCCCCTCCAAAAAGGCGCGTCCTCGCGCCGTATAACTTCAATAGGGGTGGGGGGGCGGGCGCCCTGGAGGCTGACGAGGGCGTGGCCTACCCTGAGCAGGAAGCCTCCAGGGCGGAGCAGGCTGGTCAGGGGGCCATGGCGGAGTAGGAGACCACCACTCGGGCGGTCCTGGCGGAGAATCCCCTTCGGGCGGCCATGGCGGAGACGCACCTTCGGGCGGCCATGGCGGAGACGCACCTTCGGGCGGCCATGGCGGAGACGCACCTTGGGGTGGCCATGGCGGAGACGCACCTTCAGGTGGCCTATATCCCCCCCCCCAAAACTTTCTTGGGGGGAATCACAGGCTCTGGGACAGGCTCTGGGACGTGGACAGTCTCTGGGTGGTCAGACGGGACGTGGAAAGTCTCTGGCTGGGCTAGCGGTGAAGGCCCGGCTATGCTGGATGGAACCAGTGGTGACGGCTCAGAAGGGCTGGACGGGACCAGCGGAGAAGGCTCTGGCTCGGCCGGCGTGACGCGAAGCTCCGGCTCGGCAGGCGTGCAGGTAAGCTCCGGCTCGGCAGGCGTGCAGGTAAACTCAGGCTCGGCAGGCGTGCAGGGAAGCTCAGGCTCGGCAGGCGTGCAGGGAAGCTCAGGCTCGGCAGGCGTGCAGGGAAGCTCAGGTTCGGCAGGCGTGCAGGGAGGCGCAGGCGGGCAGGCGACGTGAAGCTGCGGTGCAGGCCTGGCTGGGCTGGACAGAACCAGTGGTGCAGGCTGCTCTGGGCTGGACAGAACCAGCGGAGACTGCTCTGGACTGGACAGGACCAGCGGCGAAGAGGGCTCTGAGCTGGACAGGACCAGCGGCGAAGAGGACTTTGAGCTGGACAGGACCAGCGGCGAAGAGGGCTCTGAGCTGGACAGGACCAGCGGCGAAGAGGGCTCTGAGCTGGACAGGACCAGCGGCGAAGAGGACTTTGAGCTGGACAGGACCAGCGGTGCAGGCTGCTCTGGGCTGGACAGAACCAGCGGAGAAGGCTTGGCTGGGCTGGACGGAACCAGTGGTGCAGGCTTGGCTGGGCTGGACGGAACCAGTGGTGCAGGCTGCTCTGGGCTGGACAAGACCAGCAGCGAAGACTGCTCTGGACTGGACAGGACCAGTGGCGAAGAGGGCTCTGAGCTGGACAGGACCAGCGGCGAAGAGGACTTTGAGCTGGACAGGACCAGCGGCGAAGACGGCTTAGAACTGGGCGGAATCAGCGGTGGAAGCTCAGGATCTTCCTCGACAGGGCAGGACGGGAGATCGGGCTGGACGAGTAGATCGGGCTGGATGTCTCCCACGGTGAGTGAGGAACCACACATCCACAGAGTGCGGTCAATGAATTGGATGAGAGGTAGGTTGATATCATCCAACAACAGTATCTGGGCGAGTGGATCATCTAACCCGCTCCAGAACTGCTGCTGCAGGAAGTACTCATCCCAGCTCCCATCCTGGTAAAGGTGAAGGAAAACTTCAGCAAATTCCTCCAGAGTACTACCGTTCTGGTCGAACATAGTGGATTCCGTGTTTCTGTGGTCCATTTCTTTATGGTCGGTTCTTCTGTTACGGTGTGTGTCGGCAGGAAGCACGAGGAGATCAGGATTTCCAAAAACAATATACTTTACTAATAAATCAAACTGGTACAGGCAGGAAAACAGACAGAGGATACACACATCTTACATAAACGAGAACCGACAAGGAGTGAGGGAGAACACAGGGTTTACATACACAGAGAACGGATCATGGGAACAAGACACAGCTGGGGCAAATTAACTAGAAACAGGTGAAGGAACTGAACACAAACGAGGAGCGGGAAAACTGAGATACAGGACTGAACCAAAACACAATGCAGGGAGAAACACAGGACACACATGTAACACATATAAGTAATAAATAAAGTAATAAATAAATAATTGTATCTTCTTTGCTAAACTTACACATCCTAGTCATTATTATACTTATTATACACGTGTAGCTCACAAATTACTGACAGTCACGAAAGTGACTAAATATGATTTTCATTTACCGGTACAATAATCAAAACTAAAATTTGGCATTAGTAACTTTTCACGTAAATTTTGACCGGAATTGAAAACAGAAACAAAGTAAGACTTAGAATACTTTGTAACTGTCCAGCAATCTTGAACAATACTGTATGTGAAAAATCAATAATCAAAATTGTCTCACTCAAGAATTAAATTAAATATGAACTCATGAATTCACATTTGAGAGTCAGTGGCAGGTTTGTTAACTTATATGGGTAACGCTTCCTATTACAGTACAGTACTTACGTGTACTTACAGTGTACTTACATAGAAAGTACTAGCTAATATAAGTTAAGTACATGGGTTAGGGGTAGGTTCAGGGTTAGCACCTAGTTATTACCCAGTAATTGTAATTACTATAATAAGTACATAGTATGCACATGGGTAACAGGACTGTAAAAGGAAGCATATTAACTAATATTGATAAGGTGCTAATTTTAATTCATCTGTATATAATCTTAAAATAAGTTTTATTCTTTTTTAGTATAATTAAGTAAATTAATACTTGGAGACAGCTGAATTCAAATGGGGTTCTTAACAATTTACTGATATCTATTGATTTGGAGTAGTAAGGAATATGTGCTAATTGTACATTTTGCACTCAAAGACAAACAAATTCTAAAGACTGCCATTAACATACGTTACAAACGGGCACAATGGACCATCCTCCCCAAATACACTTGTATTATTATGCAAATGTGGAGAAGGATGCATGTGAACTTGACCCATATAAGACAGCCCCGCTCCCACACTCATATAAAGGGTGTTTTCGTACCCGTGTCCAAACGGTGGTATGAAGTACAGGCAGCAGTGCACTCTGTTGTCTAGTATGTTCTTTCTGTTCAGTCCGCTCTCATCTCTGAAGTACTGCTCAAACTGCTGGTCGATGTAGTCTGTGATGGGCTTCCAACTGCAAACACACAGATAAACACACACTCTTCAGATCAGAACTGAACACAATAACAGATTAGGACAAGGATTCACAATTTTTTTTCAACCGAACCCCTTTGACCTAAATTATTTACTTGATTTTAAGTTTTTAAGTTGCTATTTCAGCACAGTCAGGTTCACGGTTCTCTGATGCTGGCTAATGTCGGCATGAAACAGAAGTTGTGATAGTATTTTCTTCCCTATTGTGACGTATATCCGAGTGAAACGTCTTCTGGAACAAGAACAAATGTAGGGTGTGTATGTATTGGTGGATCTCTTGTGAGTGACAGGTTGCCCCGTCCTCGTCAAAAAGTTATTTTGATTAAAGATTACAAGGGCACATGAATTGAAAATAAATAAATAATGATGTGCACAGATAAATCATTTTTAATACATACTGCAATGTTCCCTTGAAAAAAAAAAAAATAGGGATTGTCAATTTTGAATTCATGGTGACTTTAATATCACGACATGCAGGTAAAACGTTTTTAGTATGTCTTTAATTTTGATTTTTTGACTATTTACATTAATTTGAATTAAATTAACGGTGCTGTAGGACATCTGGGAAAATGCTAACTTTAGCCTGATAGCAGTAAAAGCATACGTCCCATCGTCGTCCAAAGCCACGCCTCCTGAAAGCATAAACGCACAGCCCAGAAGACTGGAGACAACGTTACTGCAATACATCATGTGTCATTCACAAGTGAGAAAACTTTACAGTACAGTGAGTAACAGTACTATACCAAACGAAAACTAATTTTTAAAAACAGAATTAGTTGCAGCAAGTTTTCGGTTTGTTTAGCTAGCAAAACTTGTCTGTGTGTAATAATATTTCTTGCATGACAGGGTTTCCTCGATGAAAGTCTGCTTGGCTCCGATGAAGATATATAGATCATAGATCCTTTGCCAGTGCCACTTGTTGTCGGTTCAGAAGGAAAGTTAGGTTGTTGCTGCTTGCCTGCCATTCTCGCTCTGTCTGCACAGCGTACGTGAACGCGCTGATGACTTATGTCTGCGTGAACAGCCTGCGCACTGGTATGCAAACACACATGGACCGACAGGGAACACATGCTATAAGACCGTTCCACGATACACAACGGTTGAACGAACATTTTATGGTGCTACGCCTTCCACAGACGACATATAGAGTGATTGCTATCAGGATATGAGGAGACTTTCAACCAGCATAACAAAAAATGTTTCTGCAGACAATCACCTACGGCACCTTTAATTAATTGAATTATTATTTCAATAACTTTATTTTATTCATTTTATTTTACTCTATTTATTTTCAGCATTTATTTAATTTTTTCATGATTTATCTTTGCATTAACTCACAAACCCCTTGCCCTGACAAACCCAAGTTTGTGAAACCCTGACCTTAGACACTCGAGCCTGTGTTATATTGTGCCATGACTAAGGATGTGTTCACACTTGGCATGTTTGGTTGGATTAAAACGAACCCTGGTGCGATTGCTCTGTTAGTGCGGTTCATTTGAATAAGTGTGATCGCTGCCATCTGAACCCTGGAGCCACCAAACAAGCTGACCAAGTCCACTGAAAAAATGGGTCTCGATCTGCTTCCAAACGAACTCTGGTGCGGTTCGACTGAACTATGAGCGCAGCACAGACCAAAAACAGGGCATGATGTCAGAACATGCGGCCCTATAAAGGACAGAAAGCTCAAGCATAGTACCTATTGTCGCAATGTTGCCCATCACAATTCGGTACAGGCATCAGAACCGCGTCTCCTCACAGCAGATCTGTGTTTGTGTGTGTGACGGAGGGATTCCTGCTGTTGTTTTGACTCCTTTACACATTTTATAAGCTCTTCACGAGTTCTCAGCTGGTCAAAATACCATCATATGTAGACTACGTACATACAGCGAGCACATTTAGCCCAGCACACAACATTGTTTTGGATGTTCGGTAAGTTCAGTCGTACGTACTAAAAGCCGACCAATCAGGTTGTGAACGTATCCCTAAGCCTTTAGGTTCAACATCTTTAGGTTCAGTGTTAAAATGTTTTTTTTTTTTTGGTTCGGACCAAACAAACTGAACTATAAGTGTGAACACAACACACCATAAAAGACTTTTTGCTTTCATAAAATGCTGTATTGAGCAATAAAGCATCCAAGCCCATAATTATCTGTTTCGTAATTGAATTGTCATGTGATGCTGGGAACAGCTGAATTCTCACCATTCATTATTATTGACCGCGTCTCCAAACCCCGGCGTGTCCACAATAGTGAGTTTGAGTTTGACTCCTTTCTCCTCAATGTCCACCGTGTGTTTGGTGATCTCAACTGTCTGATTAATACGCTCTGTCACAGGAAACACACAATATAGCATAAAAACTGACAAAAACGTATTTATTTGATAAAAAATACAGTAAAAACAGTAATTTTGTGAAATATTATTATAATTGAAAAAATCCATTTTCTTTTTAAATATGTTAAAATTATTTATTTTTCCCCCTGTGATCAAAGCTGAATTTTCAGCATCATTACTCCAGTATTCAGTGTCACATGATCCTTCAGAAATCATTCTAATATGATGATTTGCTGCTCAAGAAACATTTCTCTTTAGTATCTAGGCTGAAAACAGTTTAATACTTTTGTTTGATGAATAAAAAGTCCAAAAGAACAGCATTTATTTAAATATAATAAATAACTTAAATTAAATCTTGTGTCTTTACTGTCACTTTTGATCAATTGAATGCATTCTTGCTGAATAAAAGTATTCTTTTATTTGGGGATTTTTTTTTTCAACAGTAGAGTATATTGTATGCTTAATATAAACAAAACAGATTTTTTTTTTTTTTTTGGTGTACTGTTCCTTTAAGACAATTCTTACCTTCTGCATTTAGTAATTTCCTGTCTTTATAGAGATCTGTGAGGAAGAGGCTGTTAACTAGAGTAGACTTGCCCAATCCAGATTCACCTAAAACACACACACAATGTTCTTGTTTTTGACAAAGATGAGCATGAAGTCAGTGTCACATGCTATAATGATGATCTCAGACATACCTGCCACCATGAGGGTGAAGTCGAAGCCCTTCTTCACCGACTTCCTGTGGACCTGATTAGGAAGCGTGGCAAAGCCGACATACTGCTTGTCCTGAAAGAAAAAGCCAAAAATGATTTTGTGTTGAAGAATGAATGTGCTGTATTATTTCTCCTGGAAGAAAGAAAGTTATACAGGTTTTGAATGATTATTTTGGGTGAACTGTCCCTTTAAGACAGAGCTTTTGTGAATCGTCAGACTGGCACAAAAATAGCAGAGCATGAAAATGCCAGTAGTGTTGAGACTCCTGCAGATCTACCAACTGTGCCGGAAACTGCTCAGCATTCATAACCGCTCAAACAGACACTGAGAACACTAATATTACTGACGGTTATGCGCTGAATGAAAGCAAAATCACGATCAAACCCGACAGCAGAACCAGCTCAGTGTTCAGGCCAAACCGAGTGGCCATATATACACACACAGAAGCCATATTTACATAAGCTGAAAAGGTCTTTTTAACACACTCAAACTTGGGCCAAACACAACTCATCTGACTGCCAGAGCATCTCACAGCCTGTCATGTGTGTTTCCGCAGTCCATCGTGCTAGAAAAGAGAAACCCTGCCGTATCTCACCCCACATGCACAGTGTGTGTGAGAGAAGATGTGTGTGGAATTCAATTACATATAAAAACAATGAGATTTTTTACATTTTCTGAAGCAAAACTATGCTGTTGCTAAAGTGTTCTGAAGGATTTTTCGCCTTCAGGGCTGTTTGGGTTTTCAGGGTGGTTGCTAGGGTGTTGCTGAGGTATTCTAAATGTGCTTGCTAGTTACACACGAAAGATTAATAGTTAGGGTTAATAATAATCAGGCTTGATGCACAGAGGTTTGTTCAAATCTTTAACTGAATAAACATTCAAAGCACCAAAATGTGCATAATATCATGCATGCACTGCAAAAATTTTTTTTTCCTCAAATTAAAATCTGTTTTTGACTTGTTTTTTTTTAGCACAAATATCTTAACATTCTTAAATCAAGATACAAAAAAAAAAGATATTAAGTGTTATTTTCTGAAAAATGCATCAGAAATAAGTGAATTTATGCTAAATTCGGGGTCTGCCAATCTGGCTCAGAAAAATAAACTTAATTAAAAAATGAAAACAAGATTATTTTTCTGACCCCACTGGCAGATATTTTTCTTGTTTTAACCATAAGCTCACTTAATTTTGAATAATTTTTCAGTAAACAAGACTTAAAATCTTGTAATTTTGCTTCTCAAGAAAATGTGTCTTCATTTAAGAATGCTTAAATACTTATACTGTAAAAAAGACAAAATACTGAGTAAGGAAATAATTTTTTCAGTGTGTGATGTCATACTATTTACAATAACACTTATTAATAAACTAAATGGAAGCATATTCTTTTGCGGCTTTTCTCATATAGTCTCATATATACTGTATATATATAAAGCTGCAACTGAATATGCTTCCATTTAGTTTACTAGTAAGTACATATATATATATATATATATATATATATATATATATATAACATTTACAAGACATATAAACACCGAACCTTCTGTCGGGTGGTTCTGGTTCGGGGACACAGAAGTTTCTCCACCAGTTTCTCCTGCAGCATCATGTTGTCCATCCTGAACCAGACGCCTCAGAAATGTGTGCCGTCCGCCTTTAAACCAGCGTGACCTCTCTCTCTCTCTCTCTCTCTCTCTCTCTCTCTCTCTGACTCTCAGTTTACCACTCTCTTCCTCTATAAACAATCTCCGCTTTCTTTTTCCTTGATTTCTGTCTGTGTGTTGCCCATGGCACATCCCAGCATGCCGTGTTCAGACAGGCAGATAGAGGAATCCCCAAGACTGAATGAAAGACTGACAAAAGAAGGTAGTGAGAGAGAGAGAGAGAGAGAGAGAGAGAGAGAGAGAGAGAGAGAGAGTGAGTAAGAGAAACGAAAAAACGTAAAGGGGAAAAAAAGCATGGAAGCAATTTTAGACAGGAAAGGGGGGCAGGAATAAAAACACTCATTCATTTAGTCGTTCATTCCTCCCCCACTTTTTTTCCATAGATGGCTCTGAGGTGTAGGGATTTCTATGTGTGTGTGTGTGTGTGTGTGTGAGGGAGCAAGACACATTTAGTAAGATGGCAGCCACACCCTTCCCACCAGACCTTGCCAGACTGGCACACACACAGCTTTTCTACAGACTACAGCACAGCAGAGTGACCTTTACTGTAGTATTACTTACAAATGCTATGAGGATGCATATTTTTGCCTGTATAAAAATATATATACTGTTCAAAAGTTTGGTGTCTGTAAAACATCTTTTGAATGAATGGATACTTTATACAGCAAGGATGCATTAAATTGATCCAAAGTTACAGTAAGGACATTTTTACTGTTACGAAAGTTTCAAATAAATGCTGTTCTCTTGAACTTTCTATTCAAAGAATCCTGAAAAAAATGCATCATGGTTTCCACAAAAATATGAAGCAGCACAACTGTTTTCAACATTGATAATAATCAGAAATGTTTCTATGAGCAGCAAATCATCATATTAGAATGATTTCTGAAGGATCATGTGACACTGAAGACTGGAGTAATGATGCTCAAAATTAAGCTTTGATCACTTTTTGATCATCCAAAAAAAAAACTGTAATAATATTTTACAATATAACTGTTTTTACTCTATTTTTGATAAAATAATGATTGGATTAAATTTATTAATTCAAATCTTACTTACTGAACGCATCAAAAAATGTGTAATATTACAAGCATGTGCTTATCGATGATGATATATGCCTGTTGGACCAGCTGCTTTTCAGGAAGATTCAGTGAATATGTGTGATTGAATCTTCAAATTCGTTTTGTACATTTTCTGAGTGAAATGCAGATCTGGTGGGGTTAATACTAAAGGTTTGGGGTCGTTCAGATCACTAACTCTAATATGAGCAATAGTAATAGTGATGTCTGAGCAAACACCACTAATAAACATCTTGATATTAAGCATGATTTGCCCTATAATAGGGTTGGTGGGGGTGCTGGTCATGCATATAGATGATCAGTGTGCTGGTGGGGGGTGGGGGGTCCAAAGGGGGTCTTTTGAATAGAGCAGAACAGATGTCTTTGAGTGATACAATAGCCCCGGTTCCCCCACCCTACAGAGAACAACACCCTCTCACTGTCCAGCTGCCATCCCTGAGTGCCACCTGACACAATCCAATATCTCTATTGTTTTAAACCAGTTTTGTTTGAGGAACTCTGATACGATCAGTGTATTAAAATGGAGGAAACATTTAACCCTCTGGTGCTGCTCGCATGGCAGTCAAAAAGGATCGAATTATAATTTTTGTTTCTAAAATATTTTTTATTTCAATATTTTGTATTTTTAGGAGATTTTATGGTACTAAGTAATATTTATGGAATAGTTATGACCCATTTATTACCTGTTAATCACTTTTTGAGCATAGACCTGAAGATGAAATTTCCAACTTAATCTGTCGTGAATCTTGAATGCAGACTGCATAAAAATACTATTTTAAATTTTATATGAAATATATATTTTCCAAAGCATGTTTTACTCTAAAACTGTGAGAAAATCAAAACATAAATCTAAAAAAAATTAGTTTTCAGTAAGATTTTGTTTGGGTGCAGTACTAAACTTGATGAAATTCGTCTCCCATTCGTTTCCAATGGATTCATTTTTGACTGCGAACAATACAAGTGTGACTATTTTTTTCAGGACCATTTAACCTTTTCCATGATTTATTTTTACATTTTTTTCTGTGTGTTCAAATAGCAAGTGCCAAAACCTTTACCAAGTTTCGCACCATTCTGATGAAGTCAATATATATATATATAGACGCAGGTCGCGTCTTGTATTTTTTACAGCAAAAACGTATTCTGTGTGAACTAGAGCGGCACGATTCTGGATAAATTGAGAATCACAATTTTTTGGTCGCATTACTCGCATAAGTTGCGCTTTACACTTAAGTGGAATCCATATGTTCGTTTGCCCAGAAGCTAGTTATTTTACTTTATAAAGTTTTAAATATTAATATTTTCCTTACACAAACTCAACAATGCACAAAAAAGGCATTCGAATACTTTGGCGACTGTATAGCAATGCACTGACAACCACCCAGAACACTTCAGCAATTACATACTGTAGTAACACACAGAAAGGCATTCAGAACACTTTAGAAACTGCATAGCGACACCCTGGCAACCACCCAGAACACCCAAACAATTGCATAGCACCACACTAAAAACAACCACAACTGCAGCAATAGTAAAGCTTACTGCAATTGCATAGAAATGCACACAAAGCAATTCAAAATACCGTAGCAACTGCATAGCGACACCCTGGCAACCACCCAGAACACCCTAACAATTGCATAGCAACACACTAAAAACAACCACGACTGCAGCAATAGTAAAGTGTACTGCAATTGCATTGAAATGCACACAAAGCAATTCAAAATACCTTAGCAACTGCATAGCGACACCCTGGCAACCACCCAGAACACCCTAACAATTGCATAGCAACACACTAAAAACAACCACAACTGCAGCAATAGTAAAGTTTACTGCAATTGCATAGAAATGCACACAAAGCAATTGAAAATACCTTAGCAACTGCATAGCAACACCCTGGCAACCATGCAGAACACCCTAACAATATCATAGCAACACACTAAAAACAACCACAACTGCAGCAATAGTAAAGTGTACTGCAATTGCATTGAAATGCACACAAAGCAATTCAAAATACCTTAGCAACTGCATAGCGACACCCTGGCAACCACCCAGAACACCCTAACAATTGCATAGCAACACACTAAAAACAACCGCAACTGCAGCAATAGTAAAGTTTACTGCAATTGCATAGAAATGCACACAAAGCAATTGAAAATACCTTAGCAACTGCATAGCAACACCCTGGCAACCATGCAGAACACCCTAGCAACCACATAATAAAGCACAGAACGGCATTCCGAATACTTTAGCAACTGTATAGCAATGCCCAGCCAACCCTACAGTTATGCACAATAACATTTCTAATTCTAATTTAAATAGAGACATCCTGCTCATCTCAGAAAGTGATTTTCTTACTGCTGTTCAGTGATATTTAAGAGTGAGGTGGGACCAATGATGTCATGTGAGCTGTCTCATGTTACACTGCATGTGGGTTTGGAACATGCTGATGATGTCATAATGATGGGAAGGGCGGAGAGACGCCTGAAGGAAGAGAAGTGGATGAACACGAGACTTTCTGCGCTGACTAAACATCCTCGGGGCTCTACGGCAGCTGCACTGGGTCAAGCACAAACAGACCCAGGAACAGTCTCGCTTTCAGACCATGTCAGCCTTACTGGTTCACCAGATTGTTTGTAATTACAGGCATGTGTTTAAATGGTTCAACTTATTATCCAGGGTAACTTACAGTACACTTATTACAGTGATGCTCAGAGGCACAAAGGTGATAGTTTTGGGGTTTAAACTTCCCACAGCAATTAACATGAATCATATTTAGGGAACACTGTATTGCACATACATTTATTCAAAAGTTTTAGATCGGTAAGATTTTTAAAATGTTTTTGGAAGTCTTTTCTGCTCACCAATGCTACATTTATTTGATCTAAAATACAGTAAAACAGAAATATTGTGAGATATTATTACAATTTAGAATAACTGTTGAATATATTGCTGAATTTCAGCATCATTACTCCAGTCTTCAGTGTCACATGATCCTTCAGAAATCACTCTAATATGATGATTTGTCGCTCAAGAAACATTTCTGATTATTATCAGTTGAATAGAGTTCATATGTTCGTTAAAACGGTGATTATTTTTTTAAGATTCGTTGAATAATAGAAAGTAAACAAAAACGGCATTTATTTGAAATTAAGTTTTTTGTAACATTATAAATGTCTTTACTGTTACTTTTGATCAATTTAACGGATCCTTGCTGAATAAAAAAAAAAAAAATCTTTTCAAAAAATAAAATCTTACTGACCTTTCGAACGGTAGTGTAAATGAGCTAAATGAACTCACATGTGCAGGAACAGTTTAATCAAATATAACATCTCTGTCATTTTTCACTCATCCTCATGTCATGACTTACTTTCTTCTGTGGAACACAATCAATTTTTGTCGAAACGTCTGTTTTGCATGCAGTGAATATGAACAGTGATAAGCATCTGTCCAGCTCCAAAATGCATTACCAGTTCTAGAACTATCTGCATTCAAAGTAAATTCTTGGAAACAAAAGAAACGAATGCCATTAGGGTGAGCAAATGACAACTGGGTTGAATTTTTGGGTTAACTTTAAAGGGATACTCCACTTTTTTGGAAATAGGCTCATTTTACAACTCTCCCAGAGTTAAACTGTTGAGTTTTACCGTTTTTGAATCCATTCAGCCGATCTCCAGTTCTTTCTCTTATTCCTGCGTAATAATCAAGAAACTTTACTGCCGTACCATGAGAGCAGCAGGCGTAATGATATGACGCAGCGCCTGAAAATAGGCCACCTTCCGTCAACACAACGGAACTATTTTCAGGCGCTGCGTCATATCATTACGCCTGCTGCTCTCATGGTACGGCAGTAAAGTTTCTTGATTATTACGCAGGAATGAGAGTATAGTTCCTAGCCATATTAGCCTAGAAAATCGCAACTTTACATTTTCCGTCGGTCTTAGTGCACGATGTAACTACAGAAGAATCAAGTTTTAAATAGGAAAAATATCGAAACTCTTTGGTCATTTTTTTTTTTAGAAATGCTAATGGTCTTGTCCACTTTAATGATGTATGCTAAGCTATGCTAAAAGTGGTACCGCCAGAACTGGAGATCGGCTGAATGGGTTCAAAAA